GAGTTGTACTGCCACCAAGGTTTTGACTTACTGGAAGATGTCGAGTTAATAACCTTGCGGATGATATTACCCATTTTTTGGCAGTGCGTTGAGCGTCAAGTACTTGGGGTTGGTTCTAAGTATGAAAATGGAAACTAAACATTGAAGAAAGAGTAAAACCGGCATCAATAGATCTTTACTGTGGTAGGGAGGTAACCCCTTTCCTAAACATATTTTCTGACTCCATGAAACCACAATGAAGCCCATAATGGCCTATGAAGATCTCGTTCCTAAACCTCCTATTTAGGCCTACAAATCGCTGCAGTATTTTTCAGGCACCAGCCTGTCGATTCACTGTTCTATTATGTACAATATACTCATAGCCAAGCAGCAAGCAAGGCCTTAAGCTCGTTCACTCTCTTCCGAGTGGCTCTGATCATTTTCTAGTTAGGCTTGCATGGCTTCAAGGCCACTGCAATATTACAGAATATTGGGATGCCAAGAAAGGGTTTCCCAAGAAAGCCTATCTCACGAGAGAGGAGAGAATGGATGAAACTCATCAACAAACAACTTTTACTTTTTTAGTTGTATTGATAGGATGCGGATATCATACCGGTACCTTAGTGCCGCAGCTATTTGAGGGAGGATGTGGAAATATTTCAACACTTTCTGTTAAGCTTTCGCGCCTGCATTCATTTTGAGGATACGCTGTCTGCAAGGTGTATACGAGGTGGAGTTGTTAGATTAGCTGATTTCTTCGCCTTACATATATTTTGTTTTTGCTTTTACTGATTTGACAGCACACCCATCAAAAGCAAAAACAAAATACATGTAAAATTTGGGCCGAATTAAGATTTGACATAACACTCGCAATACAAAATACGTGTGGTTGTTGTTGTTGTATTCTTGCTACCCCCTTGTATAAATTCGCCTTGGATCACCAATTTTAATCGAGCCTCGAGGAATTTCATTCTCGGTACACAGCAGTATTCCCAAAAGTTCTCAGAGTGTTATCCAAACAAAAAACCGATATATATTGTCCAAGGGCGCTCTTGGTTGGTGCAACCTTAACTTAAACATCCTCTGGGGCGAATCGAAGAATCTTTTATCAGACATTAAATTTTAATCTGATATATTATGCATTATTTAGTAGTTGGAAATTTTTCGCTTGTCTGAGGAATGAAAGTTTTTATGGTAATAACGCCGGTCCCTCAGTAGATTTACAGGGCAACATAGTAAAAAGTCTTTCGCAAGACAAATGAAAGACAGATGGCAAGAAAGTTCGAAAGATTTTTGTTATTCTAGCACAAAAGTCTTAGCAAAAAAGACTCTCTCATTCACCACTCGTGGTGAAAAGCTATTTTGAGAAAAAGCATTTGTATGTTTTTTAGCTCGCGTGAGCCCAACAGTCGCAATGTTCGACTGGGCAAAGCATAGGAGGCCCAATCAGGAGATCTGAGTTCGAGTCCTGGCGCAGCGGATTTTTTTTTTGTTTGTATATAATTTTTTTTCCTTTGTAATTTAATTTTTCAGATTTTTTGTTTTTAAACAGTTTACAAGCTTATTTTATGTATTTCTTTTACATTCTAATTTTTTTTTTCCTTAATCTAATTTTCTTTAATGTTTTGCTTGTTATTGTTTTAAAAATAACATTTTTTTAAATTAATTTAATGTTTAGGAAGATTTTTTTTTTCATTCGTTTTTTGGTATTTTTTTTTTAATTTTTAGATTTTATTGTGTAAAAAGAACAATATATTTTTTTAATTTCATTTACTTTTAAGAATTTATTTTATTTATTTTTTCCTTT